CACAAAACAAAACCCTTTTTACCAATTACATAAGCACTAAAGTAAAATTCAATTCTAAAAACCTATAATTATTTAGATCTCTTTGGACGATCCCTGCTCACTTCATACTCTATAGTATAAGTGTTTAGTGGTTTATAAATTATAAAATACGATGCTCACTTAACATTATTTCTAAACCTAAAGTGTTGTGCATTATTTTGTGCACACGCTCGGTCACATCATGAATCAGAAGAGGAAGGCCAGGTGTGGTATTAGTATGACGAATTTAGTCTATCTTTCTCTTTCCCTTGGCAATTTCGATAAGATAATTGTGGCCTTGCCTTGATTCTAAGTCTTTGCATATTTCCATAATCGAACGTTATCCCTATCGTTCATGGAAATGCAGACCTTGCTCAATGTCAAAAGTCTTCAACATAGTAGTTTTCTCTTGTTGAGTTGGATGGGTGGGGGGTCCCTTTGTATTTATTTATTGAACCATACTTCTGCCCGAATATCATTTTCCTTATTTATGACGTGAGTATATAGTTTGGGTTGTCCGTGTGAGCCCATTTTGGGGACTTTATTGGTCTTGGTCACATTAACTTCAATCCGTGTGAGCCCATTTTTAGGTTATCCTTGATAGTCACTAATGCAGAATTATACAAAAGGACTGTGCTATATGCACCTACCAGGCTGGCTGAAATGGCCAGCAGAGGGCATCTAAGCCCTTGATACAATCCGGTGGGATGACCATTTTGGCTAGCTTGGTAAATTTTGACTATGCAATCACTCTATCATGATTTTATTTATTTATTTATTTTGTTGTTGTTGTCTTGGCTAATCAATTATGCACTTTATTTATGCCATTCTTGACTCTTCTCCTTGCCTTAAATTCAATCCTTGCTTTTCGTTCAAGAGGAAGATTTGAATGCTTTTGTCAAATTTGTTTTCTTTTGCTTTTGTCAATTTTGTTTTGTGCCCTGATTTCACCTTCTTACTCTTTCAATTTGCACCACTCACCCTTTCTTTATAATGAATGCCTGAAGTCATGATTCGACGCAAGAAACGGTGTTATTGAATAACCTTAGTGGAGATAGTCCAACACACATGCCGCATCTATTATTTTACATATCTAATCTTGACAACGAACCTAAGAAGTGGTCATGAGAATACAACCACTAAGGCATTGAGATTGAGGTTGTAGCAATTGCTGATGTTCTTTAACAAACATTATGTGTTGACACCCATTTTGGCATTTGGGCTGTAGACCCATCTTCGGCCCAATCATGAATCCATAAACCAATTGTCCTTGGCACCCATTTTGGTAATTGGGTTCTAGCCCTAATTGGATTTGATGGACAGTGAAGCAAGAAGTAGTATGGGCCGTGTAAAACCTGTGAAACAATGATGTGCTGGAGGATTGGGCCGAGAGGATAATGGGCTGAATTGATTTGGTCTTCGGCTGGGATAATATAATACAGTTAGAATGTTGGGCTTCACACATTGCATGGATTGTGGTTGGTTTGGATGACATGGCAAAAGATGGCAAAGCTACATACAAGGGCACTGCAGATAGGATAGAAGATATTTGAATTGCAAATATATTAGATAAGGGTTATACATTTATCTTGTATTTAAATGGAGTTAAGAGTTAGTATTTAGTTAGGATTAGTTAGATTTGAATAATTATTTAGATGTATTAGAATACAACTAGGATGCTTGTATTTAGGTTTTTGTTTACTATTTACTTTATAAATAAATAAAAGGGTACGCTGAGAAAGGGGTCCAACACCCTCAGAATCTTTATTATTATTTATTTGCTTTCTCAAGCTTTTCCAAGAATAGCGTCCTTGCTATTTCTTCTTTCTTTCCTTCCTTTTATATTTCTCAATCTCTCTTTCTATCTATTTCTCTCTTTCCTTCTATTTCTCTCTTTCTCATTCTTTTCTTGCTATATCTATTTTCCTCCCTTTTTCTATTCTCTTAATCTTTTACTATAATTTATTCATGATAAAGTCCTTTTAACTAAGGCAATTCTTGAACTCTAAGAGGAGTATCATTTATCCTTCCATCGTCTGAAAGTCAACCCTCGAAAGAGACTACAAGTTGACAATTTACAATCGAACCATATATTTGGTTCTGGCACACCCGGCTTACGTTAATTTAAGATCGGCTTTAATTAGCCGATTTTAGGGTCAACATTATGTCATTAAAATACTTGAAGTTCGCTGAAAATACTTAGTTGGACTTTTCCATTAATACTAATTAAAGCTTTAGTTGCTGTTTGGCAGTTGTTGGAAGAAGCCCGTGAAAAGTGTTGCTGTTAAAGTTGAGGATAACTAAGCACAAGAGATTTCCAAGCGAAGAAGAAACTGTGATGTCATTGCCAGAAACTTGAGGCCTTAACTCTGTTGGTGGCGAGCAGTGCAAGTGGCTTAAATCCAGTTGCAAAAAGGATGTTGCAGTAGTTACTTATTTGCCGAAGCAGCGGATGACTTCGGCCTGTTCGTTAGCTATTCAACACCTCCGACCGTTTGGTTTGGCTCAATTCCGAATTAAAACGAGGGAGATATGCAGTTTTAGTAACGAATAAAATTTGAAGACATGGAAAAGAGCAGACTGTGAAGCAGTCTCTAAACAATATGACGGTGCACCTTTTAAACAGTATTTGTACTGAAATTTGACTATTTATTGTGATTTATATCTTTTAAAAATATAAACAAGATATAGAAAATGAAAGTGAAGAGTACTGTTGGACTCCATGTAACCATAATGCAAAATGCAAAATGCAAAATGGTTTAGTTTGGTTTGGTTCCACAATTTTAGAATTTTTTTATAATTCAGTCTAATATATATAGTTTAAAATATATATTATAATGTTACATATAATATATTTTACTATATATTATGATATATAGTTGAGTGGTTAAAAAACTAATCTTATTATTCTATTATTTATATGATAAAAAATATATAAATCTATACAATTTATAAAATGGTCCGGTTCGGTTTTGTCAAAAAGAACCTCAAATCGTAACCGAATTGCCAAACCTTGAAAAAATCAAACCAAACCTACCTGTCCGGTTTGGTTTGGTCTGGTCCGTTTTATAGGTTCAGCTGGTTTTTTGTGCACTCCTACTAAAATCAAGTTTTTTTTTTTAACCATACTTCATTACTAAAGCAAATTTTTGTAACTATTAATAATAATTCAAACCTTGTTTTATTGGTTTTGTTTCTCTCTCCATAATGCTTAGGGTGCACATTGTTCGGATTTGATCAGTTTGAAAATATTTTGGAACCAAATCATTTATGACAGTTCATAAAAATAGGAATCAAACAGAACCGAACAGTGAAACTAATGGAATCGAACCAAACCAAACCATGAATAAATGATTTGGTTTGGTTTGATTCCACGGCTCTAGGCTTTTTTATAATCAATCTAATATATATATATATTTAAAAATTAAAAAATATTATATAATATAATTTTCTATTATATTATAATTTTTTATTATATATTATGATATATAGTTGAGTGTTTTAAAGGCTAATCTTAATATTCTATTATTTATATAATACAAAAATATATAAATACTAGTAAAAGACACATGCACGTGGTCAAAACTTAAAAAGTTAATTTATAATAAAAAATTTCTTTTATAAATAACTAATTAGCAACTTGTTTTAAATAGTTGATATTTATTATTTATAAAGTCATTATAAATATATATTTATAAGAGTTCAGTTTTATTATTTCTTTTACTAATAAATTTTATAAGCAACAATCAAATAGAATTAATAATAAAATAATTGTCATCCAAAACTAAATTAAACAATAATCAATAGAAATAATGTAGCTTCTATATGTAAAAAATTAGCAGTAATCTAAAACTAAACAAAACAATAATCAAACAAAAATAATATACATTCTACATATAATGTTATATTTAATTGGTAACTTGTTTTAGCCTGAAAGAATTCCGAGTATAATATGATTTATTTTATTTGGTAACTTATTTTTTTATTTGGTATATTATTTTATTTAAAAAAAATTTGTTTGTTAATATAATGGTTTAGTTTATACTAACGTAAAGATTAATTTTCAATTAAACAATTACTTATTTTATTTTAATTGGTAACTTTTTTATTATTTGGTAAATTATTTTATTAAATAATTACCCATTTTATTTTAATTTGTAACTTGTTTAGTTGTTTTAGCCTTTAAGAATTCCGAGGATAATTGGTTTCAGTTGTTTTAGCCTTAAAGAATTCTGAATAATTGGTAACTTGTTTTAGCCTTAAAAAAATTCTGAGTATAATTGGTAATCTAAATATATTGTTATATTTAATTGGTAACTTGTTTTAGCCATGAAGGATTTAGAGTATAATATGATTTATTTTAATTAGTAACTTATAATATTATTTGTATCTTATTTTATTTAAATAAAATTTATTTGTTAATATAATTGTTTAGTAGACACTAAAATAAAGATTAACTTTCAATTAAATAGTTACCTATTTATTTTAATTGGTAAATTATTTTATTATATAATTAGCTATTTTATTTTAATTGATAACTTGTTTGAGTTGTTTTAGTCCTAAAAAATTCTGAATATAATTGGTAATTATTTTATGATTTATTTATTTATTTTAAATGATGATTTGAAATTTTTAACACTGTTGTAAGTGTTAATAATAATATAGATATATACAATTTATAAAAATATTCTATTCAATTTAATCTTGTATATATCTCAAATTGCAACCGTTTATAAATGTTCTATATTTTTGAAATCGAAACCGAATCATTAAAAAAATTACCAAATCCACCACCAATTCAATCTATCAATTTAACCGGTTTTAAAACCTAATAATGCTCTATCCTCACCTAACTAACCCCACGATTTCAAAAGAAATTCCAAAAAAAGCGCCAGTCTGGTTTTATACTCTACTCTCTAGTCTCAAACTATATATATATATATAGCTTTCTGGAGTTCGTGAACTGAAGAATTGGGGATGCAATGGCGGTCCTGAACCTACCTCGAGATATCCAAATGGACATACTCTCAAGACTTCCGGTTGAATCGCTTTTGCGATTCAAGTGCGTTTCAAAACAATATCGCTTTTTAATTTCTGATCCCTACTTCATCAAATTGCATCTCAATCGATCAATTCACTCCAAGAATTGGCACAAGCTCTCTTTCTATCGTTTCGGTCCTCAATCAATAATAGACTATGAATCATTATTTGGCAACAACAACGTTAATGATGGTAGTAATGCTAGTAATGCAGTAGTGAAGTTGTACCCTCCCTTTTTGAGTCCAAGTTCTGATAAGTGCATCACTGTAATAGGTTCTTGCAACGGCTTGATTTGTTATCTGATTCATTATGGGCTCCTACAAATTATCGTAGAAATTATCTTATATAACCCTTCCACTAGAGTCTACAAGAAATTGCCAGAACCACCACATTGGATTGTAGGTAATTTTGGGTTTGCTTATGACTCCTCAAACGATGATTACAAGGTACTTATAGCAAAACGTCACTTTAGTGATGTCATATTCAAATTTTGTATCTTTAGTCTTAGAGACAATTCTTGGAGAACAATGCCGGGCGTGGATTGTAATTATGTTGACATATTCTCATCGTCTAGTTGTTGCTTGAATGGAGCTTTACATTGGCTTTTGAAACCCAGGGTGATTGTTTGTTTTGATTTATTAAAGGAGGTGTTTAGTGAGATGTCCCTAGATGGTATTCAAGGTGGAAATGAAATAGATTTGTCGTTTTGCAAAATGGGTGTTTTAGAAGAATGTTTGTATGCAGTGTCTGCCTCGAATGGTGTTAATGGACGTTTGGTTGAGATATGGTTGATGAAGGAATATGGCGTGAAGGCATCTTGGAGTAAGTTTATCACCATCCCATGTGACGTGGGCACTCTTTGCTTCACCCCCTTGTGTTTATTGAGGAATGGTGAACTGGTACTGAAGATTCACTCGGGATTGTTAGTTGATCAAGCACAATTAGGATCGTACAATACTAAATTAAATACATTTACGAAAATTTGTGATTGTCCCAATGTTCATGAAGAGTATTTGTACGTGGAGAGTCTGGTTTCACCCAACAGCTTTGACGGTCCCCGCTCACGTTCACTTTCACTTTCGTGTGGGATGAAAGCATTGATGAATTGCTGGTCTTCCTTCTTCCCTTCAAGATTTTCTGAAGCGTTTTTGTACATGGAGAGTCTGGTTTCACTCAACAGCTTTGATGGGGTCTGTTCATGCCATCACGTGGGATGAAACTAGTGATGATGATGTTAATGTTGCTGATTTTCATTTCGTTGCTCTTCTTTCTTCTCTGGCAATGGATTGGACATTATACCTGTAGATTGATCGACACCTAGTGTGCTGATTTTCTTTTCTTTTTATTTCTCCTTTTTTTTTCTTTTTTTCTTTTTTCTTTCTTTTTCAATGAATGGAATGAAATGGAATGGTATGCTGAAAATCTATGTTAGTTATATATTAAAATTTTGACGAATTAAATTGTTTGACCATTTCTTTGTGCTAAGAGGGGTTGCTGTGATTATTTTGATGGAAATTTGTGCATTAGTTTTTAATAATTTTTTTGGGAGGTTTTTATTATGTTTTGATTATAAGTTAAAGTTTTTTGTGCTCAAGCCACATAATTAGATGTCTACATTCGTGGATGAAATAATTATATGTTAAGTTCAATGCAGTCACCATTGTTCCTGCACATATAAGATGTTAAACCAACCATATCAAATGGGTTTGGATATAAATTATAATTAGTCGTTCCTCAACAAATAATTCTGAGATACAATACTATTGTTAGTTTCCTTAATTTTTTAAAAACTAAACTCTATGGATGTCCTCACCGTTAGCAATAATCTCCAAGAAAAATGATCCTTTTATCTTTTTGTTCATTGGTTTATTATTCTTTGGTAATTTTAATTTGACATGGTATAGTACATGATTATGTTATGTATTTATTTTTAAAAATCTACCAAAGACCCTTGTTTTGCATCTTAGAGAATAATATTGTGCTATTTATATTGTCTTGTTTGTAAGACGTGACTAACTAATGTATTGCGATGTTCATGAGGAGAATTTGCTAAGATTTATTGTAAGATACTTAAAAGATATGTGAGTTAGGAAGCACAAACAAGCTAAAAAATCTATGTTAAACACCAACATAAGCTGGACAGGCCATGAATACGTGTTTGAAAACGCAAGCTACATTCTTGGGTTTTTTTTTTATAATTTTTTTTTTTCATTAGTAAAGCATTCTTAGGGATTTTTTAAAAAAAAAAAAATTAGAAAGAAAGCTGGATTGAAGTACAAATATAAGGAGTTGTTTAATGACTTTCAATAATATGATGATCATTGTATAGTTAAGTAGTAGAAGTAGTTTTATAAAAATCTTATATTTATGCTTTATATTTCTGTTCAAAGTTTTAAACTCCTTCAGATCAACTTTGACTCTTTTTTTCATTCACAACAAAATTCTTTGTGTTTCTCTTTTTCCTCTTGTTAAACTGAATATTTTATCTTCTACGGATCCTTACCTTATTTTTCACTAAGACTTAATTCTTTTTCTAACAAAACCCTAATTTTTTTTTTTAACCTTCCCTGTTTCTTTTTCTCATAAAAACACAATTTTTGTTTTCATTATTTAGATTGATAAAAAAATAATATTACTCATGATTTCTCAAAGTACATCATATATATGTATAAAAAATATAATCCCTGCCATATTGGTATCCAATTTTTTAGAATTTATTGTGTTGTGTTGTGTTATGTTATATAGGTGTTCCGTATCTACTTCCCTACTTCTTAGTATGTGAGTATGTTTACAAGTTACATAACTTATTTTCTTTTTTCTTTTGCATGTACGGTGGGTGCAGGCATCCGGTAAAGCCGTGTCTCTATATGGTAAACATTCCATAGCAATATTTTCCTTCGGTTAATTCCTTCATCTAAACTCTTACCCAAAAATTGTTTTCCTTTCAAAATATCCCTATTCCGAAATAAATTCTCTCTTTCCGTCCAAAACTTTACCTCTCTCGAAATGTTACCTCGTGTGTGTATATATATGTTATGTATATGGTTGGATCTCCGATTCTCCGTAATATTATCTTTATTGTCTTCGCCTTGTGGGTTGAAAAAATTTCCTAACGTTACCTAGAAAGAACAGTTTCTTAAAAGATTTTGTACTGCAAAAGATTGGAAGTCATCAAACAAATCTATATTGTCATATAACTAAAATTATATATGTGTCTGCATTTAATTAGTTGGTGATACTATATATGAGAAATCAGCTGAATATTCTTCCTTATACGTGATTGGTTCCAATCATGGAAAAAACTAGTTTTTCTGAAACTAGGACAGAGCTCGCGACTGCCGATTGGGCTAAGCTTACTTATTACTAGAGCAAGGGAAGTACTCTCTGATCAATACAATTCGGTTCATAATGGAACATAGGCAGTGATAAGGACTTTTAAGATTACATACTGGTTTCATAGTTTCATCTCTTTTTTTCTTTTACTTGTGTGTGGGGGTGCATGTGGTTTGAGTTACAGACTTTAATTGTGTTCATGTTATATTCTTCCTTATACGTGATTGGTTCCAATCATGGAAAAAACTAGTTTTTCTGAAACTAGGACAGAGCTCGCGACTGCCGATTGGGCTAAGCTTACTTATTACTAGAGCAAGGGAAGTACTCTCTGATCAATACAATTCGGTTCATAATGGAACATAGGCAGTGATAAGGACTTTTAAGATTACATACTGGTTTCATAGTTTCATCTCTTTTTTTCTTTTACTTGTGTGTGGGGGTGCATGTGGTTTGAGTTATAGACTTTAATTGTGTTCATGTTATAATTTTGTCAATCTGTTTAACTAATCGTGTTTATGTCATAATCGTGTCAATCTATTTAATTAATCGTGTTGTGTTCGTGTTTTGGAGCTCAACCCGATTAGACTCCTTTAATTAATCGTGTCATAATCAGGTTAACCTAATTAAAATTGTAACTTCTTTAAACCCACATTTTTATCATTTCAATATAAATTCAATATGGCTATTGTATTTGGAATTTTTGTAATTCTATTGTCCAAATTATTATCTCAATTTTTCATTGTATTTTATTTTTATACTTAAATTAATAAATAGGTAACGTGACCCATTTAAATTAAATGGGTTAAACAATTTACTTGTATAACTCGTTTAACAAACGGGTCGTGTTCATATCAAGAGTTTCTGACATGATTATTAAACGGGTTGTATTTGAGTTGACATGAATATCCATAGGTTGACACGATACGATGATGACGGACATGGTTATGATCCATGAACATGATTTGTCACCCTTAAATTAAAGCAACAATTTAAAAATTAGGGTTAATTTCACTGACACCCCCTCATATTTGGCCAAATATCATATTGAAATACCTTTCAAAAATTATTATCACTCACACCCCAAAATATTTTTCCGTCACTGACACCGTCAAAATGGGTGTGAATTGACATTCTTACCCTCATTTTTTTAATGCCTTTTAATCTATAACAAGCCTTTCTCCAAAGCTCGAGTTCTGTAGTGTTATATATATATATATGTGCGTTTACTACTTTCTGTGTGTGTGTGTGTGACGTTTCAAATTTTTTCTATTTTTCAATTTCAGGGATTTTTTTATTTTTCTGGATTATTTTCTTTTCACCACGTTTTGCTTGTCGGACACCGTGGGGTGTGCTGGGTGAGTTCTGAGAGTTGATTGGAGCATTTCTTTGAGTTCGGGACTCTTAGAAATGCATCGCTGATCATTTCGGCATTTTTTCATTTATCAGGCCGGGAGGTCCCGGACGGGACCCGCAACCGGATTTGTAGTGTACGGGAATTATTTTTCGGAATTGCTGCTTGTCATACGATATTAATTGATGTATATTTATGTGGCTATGTGTTAAAGTAGTGGCTATGATGTGTTTAGTGTATATATATATAATGGATATAAAGATAAAAAGATATTTATATTGCTGTGGGACCCTCCATCACATGTCATGATGCCTAAATGCATGATTTGTTTGTTTGTTTTTTTTTTTTTTTTGGATTTTTGGTTGGTACTTGATTTGTTGAATTGAGGTGTTAATGTGGTTAGATGACTATCTTGTATATGAATTGCTCATGACATGCTAAATTCTTGTATTGGAAATGGATTATGTGCCACTTTTATATGGTTATTGTGAGGTACTTAGTTAGTCATACACAAAATGATAATTCAATGTTTATAGCATGTTATAATTGGTAATTGATATTGTTGTGACCGTAAAATTGCTTATTGTGTTGTGAAAGTATTTTCATATGCATGGCATAAGGGTGGTTAAGGACTTGAGAGTTGTGTGAAATTGATGTGCGGAAACATGAGGGTGTGGTTGTGATGTGTGGATATAAGGGTGTGGAAGTGGCATGTGGACATGTGAGTTGTGTGGTGGGACGTGTTTGCATTGGGTATTTCATACATTGTTTTGCATTGAATGGCATGATGGTTATGTGGAGAAATGAAAATGTTGTTTTGAATCCCTCGCTTGATCCCGAGCTCTTTTTCCTATTCATTGTTTAGAAGACATATAATTATTTACATTGCTCAAGGAGATACCACTTAGGCAATCTCTACTGAGCTGTTGCGCTCACTCCTTTACATTTTTTTCAGGTCACGGGGATGAGTTGGTGGATGTTGATCCTCCATGGATATAGACGGGGCTAGAAAGGATTTCTTATTAGCCATTTTGTAGTATGATGTATGTTTGTAAAGTTTTTGACAATTATATGTAATTGTTTTATTGTTTTAATGTTATAACATGGCAATGTATCAGTGTCTTTAGACAGCAGTTTGATGTATATTGTATGGCCATGGAGGCATGTATTAGCTATGTTTGTATACATGGGAATAAATGGATTAATGGTGTATTATTTTGAGGAGTTATTGACGTTTATGACTGTGGGATGTTGTGTGGTGTTTGCTGTGAATTCGGAGCAGATTATTTAGCAGGTTTGGCACGCAAACGAGCCCGGTTGGATGTTGTTTTCTGAAGTGATGTCTGCATTATATACAGCTTTTCAGCGCATGTCAGCCGGCTGACAAGGCTAGTCAGCCGACCGACAGGGCATTGCAAGGTAAAAATAGAGAGATGTTGTAATGTCCCGAATTTTTGGCTTTTTTTTTCAAATTTTTATTTTATTTTATTTATTTATTTTCTCCGTGCATCGTTTTGCGTGCCGTGTGGGACC